AGCAGTAGTGATATCCGAACAATAAACATTGCTTTATGGTTCATTATTTGGAGTAGTTTGTGATGAGTGGCTCCCTCTTGTAGTCTTTTGCTAATTCTTCTCTTTTGTTGCTGAGAAATGTTCACATTTGCTGTGATATTCACCTCTTTACTGGGCATGGGCTGCCGAATCAAACCGTGCTCAGACACAGCACGGGCGCTCACAAGTAATCAAAAGAACCGGGCAGCGTGCACGGTGCAGATCGCCTAGCCCAACACTGTAGATGACGGGATCATGTAATGTTAACTTCAAATGATTCATTTGTTGGACTTGGACAATAATAATATAATAACGTACATGCAGGTCACAAAATAAAATAAAATTTGATGGAAGCGACTCGTGCGTGGGCCCCCTGTTTAGGCAAACCTTGGATTATTAAGGCTATGATAGTTCATCATATAAGATATTTTAGATTCAGAAAAGTACATTTTGCCATTAGGTATCGAAATGATATGATGATAAGAGCCTGCTCAAAATGCGCCTTCCTCCTCCTGCCGGTAATCCAAAAATGCCCGCGAAAGATGACCCAGCTGTGACCACGGGGAGTTACACCAACAACAAAAGTTTTTGGGTCCACGTGCAGGTTTATTAGAATCGTCAGACGAGTGGTCAATACAGGGGCAACCAGACGTATGAGGGCAATCTAGAGTCGAAGTCAAATTAACATGCAGATGGTCAGAGGCAGGCAGGTGATCGCTGGTGAACATGACACCAGCAGGTGTGTTGTTTTGACTCAGCGTCTCTGAAGTACAGTGGGAAATGTGCAGCTTTGATTACAAGTGTACAAAAGGTGGTAGTAAGAAATTTGAAAATTCAGAAAAAAATCTAATTTTAATTATATGAAAATGCAAGGAATCTGGGTTTAAGTTTCACTATTTTCATTGCATTTAAACAAATTAGTATTATAGCTGTCAGTATTACATTATGTCTATAAATGTTTGGAAAATTATATATATATATATATATATATATATATATATATATATATATATATATATATATATATATATATATATATATATATACTGTATACATATATAATATGTGGCATCCTAGTCTGCCCCTGCTGTGAGTTGATTTGACCCAAGAAGCTGGGTTGATGTGTCTGTGTGGTGCTAGGGTTGCATTGATTAAACTCTTAGCATATATTACCCAGAAAATAACCCAAGTTTGGGTTACATAGCACTACCCAAAACTACCCAAGACTGTGAAAATAACACCCAAAAATTACCCAAATGCCTAACCTCACATTTGGGTAGAAAAATTAACCCCGGATTTTTTAGATTGAAGGCATACAAAGGGGATGTATGTGTGGTTTCTGAAACAAATAAACAATAGACAATAATGAATACAGATGTTTCACAATAAACATAGTAACAACTGAACAGCACACTATTTAAGTATAACAGTAACATCTCAACAGATAATATGAGCGCAATTCTCTGAATGTCCACAAGCACATGAATGCTGCATTACAGCACCTTAATTGCCTACATGTGAAATGTGAATGATCACCACATATACAGGAGCATTGTCACAATATATATATATATATATATATATATGTGTGTGTGTGTGTGTGTGTGTGTGTGTGTGTGTGTGTGTGTGTGTGTGTGTGTGTGTGTATATATATATATATATATATATATATATATATATATATATATATATATATATATATATAGAGAGAGAGAGAGAGAGAGAGAGAGAAAGAGAGAGTTTAGTTCTGGTATGTGAACGGTCACTATTGAAGGGAGAGTGAGACATTACATTGATGATAAGCTGAATTTCACTGCAGCCATCTCTGGGTTTTTTTCTTTTTTTTTTTTGGGTTCCTTTTACGGTTTTAACATTGAGTGTCTGAAGTCAACCAATGCCACAGAGCATATTAAAAGGTAAGTATAAGATATGGAAGAGATGCATTTAAAGGCAAAAATATTCACACAGAGCAAAGAAGTTGACAAAAAAATTTGAAAATTTGAAGAGAGTAACACATTTCACTGCAGCACTCTCTCCCTCCCTCCCTCTCTCTCTCTCTCTCTCTCTCTCTCTCTCTCTCTCTCTGTGTGTGTGTGTGTGTGTGTGTGTGTGTGTGTGTGTGTGTGTGTGTTTTGTTTCTTTTATGTTTTTAACCTTCTATATCAGAAGTCAAGTAATTCCTTTGTAGAGCTTATTCAAAGGTAAGTATTATAAATGAATGACATAAATTTATAGGCATAATTATTTAGTCTTCTTTGAAATGTAAATTCTTTTAAATATATCCAAAGTGATGTTTATCAGAGCAAAAAATGTCACAGCATTTTTTGCAACTTTGTTTACTTTTCCTAATAAACCTAGTTAAGCCTTTATATTGCAATGGATATTGCAATGAAAAGCTGAATATTAGAATCTTGCTAAATAACTAATAAATAAAAATAATCTCCCCCTTAAACAGCACCTACATACATTTTTGCAGTGGCTGAAGGAAGTTGACTGGAAAACTTCAAATGACTTGAAAACTTCAAAAGAAGTATGTAAAAGGGGCATTTATAGCATAAAGACTTTCTTTTTTGTATGCATAAATTATTTGTTTTGTTTTTTTATTACTACTAAACAGGTTTGGTGCAACATGAGGATCAGTGTTGACCATTTTTTTATATATAGTCTTGCTTTAGATTGAGTTTTTTAAATTAATTTATTCAGTTTTTTTATTGGATATGTGATTGTAATAAATTTTGGAAGTTGCTTTAAAAGTCCTATGTTATATACCATGGGGGTCAAACTCAGTTCCTGGAGGGCTGAAGCGCAGCAGAGTTTAGTACCCACCCTGCTTTAACATTACCTGAAAATTTCTAACAAGCCTAATTAGTTTGATCAGGTGTGTTTAATTAGAGTTACAGCTTAAAGTCACACTGCACTAATCTCCCTATAGACTAACATCTTTGTTTCTAACATCTTTGTGTTTAGAATAAGATAGACAGCTTGTGGGAGTGTGTGGTGATGCTTAAATCATTGTTTTCTGCCTTAATATAAATGCAATTCTCTATAAATAGCAACATAAAGCATCAGAGTAGATGGGACAGTAATGATGGAACAGTAATTTGCCATTTATTGTCAGTTTCTACCTGTAATGTGTACATAAGGTAAATTGCTGTAATGTTATCTTTGCACTACACAAATTCATACAAATCCTACTCCTTTTATAGTAAAATACTTTTTCCTTTCATTACAGCAAAACACTGGCTATTTTAGTTATTTACTGCATAATCTACAGTAAGGGTTAACAGTGTAGTTGTTTGCTCACCCACTCTGATGATGCAGCATTTAACTGTGCACATTGATCGGTTAGTGTCATCTGGGATTTATGTGTTGATCTCCGGCAATGTAGCCCTTGAAAGTAATATGCTATTTTAAGAATGTAGACTTGTTCAGAACATTGCTTATTTGCAGTTATTAAGCATCTGAGCTTATTTTTTTTTATAAAGGCTTAATTCAGTATACTTGTACTTATTTAATCAAATAAGTAGATTATTTAATTGCATTTGAAACGAAAAAACAACAACATCTGAGCAGTTCAATGTTGTACATTCCTGAAAGGTGATCATTACTGATCTATTTTCGCCACCCACTGGTGGAGAATGATTTAGCATTTTTATACTGCAAGGTTTTATTCTGTGAAGATCATTAACAACAGTATTTTTTTCAGAATGAGTTAATTCTCTCATAAAAATCCACACTGATATTTTTTGAACACACCTCTTTCAATGCATTTGCCAATTAATCAGAATAAACAACGTGCATGAGACAACAGCTGAGTCTGTTGTTTTTCTATTACACTATTTTATCCACATGTAAATCTTTTGTAGTGCACAATTATTCCTATTAGACCACTAATAACAGTGCCTCGAGAGGTTACAAATCATACTATTTTTTAACTCAACTAAATGCTTGACCTCATTCTGCATTGAGGAAGTGCGCCCGTTTTCGCGTTTCTTTAAAAACTTCTGATTCAGTTTCCCATGGAAAAATAACTAGGGATAATAAACAGCAGAAAACAAACTGATAAACAGCAGCAAACTGCTTGCTCTACAAACAAGTCTGTTCATGACTATACATAAAAAGTAGAATAATATAATGAGAAAATATCAGTTTAAGAGGCATCAAGAGGCTTACTAGCTCATTTTAATGGAAGTGAGACTCCAGCCAAAATGATTCCAATGGCTGTGCCTGCTCATACGTGAAGAATATAAGGTCAATAGTGGTCACATGTGCTCTATAATTTGTTTGGCATATAGCAATATCACAGACATTTGTTATTTATTTCAGCGTTTGTAGTGTTTGACAGTTCAAGTTATATAGTTTCACCCTCAAATAACGACCATATAATGAACAACCAGAGGCTTCAATATGAAAATGTGCAAATTGGAGTTTCATTTACAATACAGAAATTGGGTTGATCTCTTTCTTTTGTATATTGTTTTACTGTATGTAGTTATACTATGCAGGGGTTTATTGTTTGCCTTTTAGTGTTTTGCCCAGAAATTTGCTGGGCTTTAAAATGTAAGTTAAAATATTTTAGTTTAAATCTAAGAGCTTCCTCAGACAGTGAGATTCTCTATAACACTTTATAATAACATTACACAAGTAAATCATTTATTACGCTTTAGCAAATAGTTCATTCATCATTTGTTGAGCATTAACTCCATTAGTGTACTAAAGTAATACATTACTATTAACTACATTCATATAAATTAGATCAATACATTAATATTACAGGCATTTAATAATAGTTATTTTGTATATTAATAAGTATATTTAGGGGGAGAATATTTTGAACGCGACCCAGGTGTAAAATTTTTATTGTGGAAAAACTTTTTGGTGCACTTTTAAATTGATGTCATAATCAGAAAGTGTGTATTGCATACAAACATGCTTCTCTTTTATTGGCTAGAGGGCTGACATCATCAACCGTCCTCAGCTCCTCCCCAATCTCTCCTGCATCAGCACCATCACTCGCATTCGTAGAGCCTCAGGATCCAGAAGACCAGCTCTGACCTGACTTAAGAGGCTTCAATCTTCGAGATGGAGAGCTTGCTGGACAACCCAATGAAAGCCGTGCTTTATCTCAAAGAACTCACCACTATTGTACAAAACCAGCAGAGTCTGATTCAAACCCAGCGGCAGCGGATCGACGAGCTCGAGAGGAAGGTTGAGGATTTGATCGGCGAGAACCGTCAGCTGAGAGATCCGCATCAGCACCAACATTATCATCCGCACCACCATCACCCATCCCCGCCTACTAGCAGCCCGCACCCGGCCGTTCACCCTCACCAGCATTCGGGGAGTCACGGTCAAACCCAGCCGCAGCTGCCGCAACAGCAGCATCCGTCGAAACAGCCGCAGCCGCAGCCAGCAGCACCCATTCATCACCCGCAGCATCTGCAGCTGGTACCTACATCTCCACCGACTCTAAAAGCGAGTCAGTCCAGCCCTGAGTCAGCAGACGACGACAAGAAAAGCCCATCCTGCAAGTCTTTGGTTCCGCAAACGCCATCGACACTGTGCCGGTCCGTCGGCCTTGCCAGGAAACCAGAGTAAGTAAAAACCACAGCAAGAAACGCACGGTGCATCACACACTCTACCTCCGATCATGCGGCATTTGTTTCATATTAGTGTCAGGAGCGATAATTTTATACATGAAAGACTGACAGTTAAATGCGATTAATATTATTATTTATATAAGTCACATGTGTAGATTAAAAATCTTTTCAATAATACACTCTAAATTATTATGATGGTGACGACGACATCGACGATAATAATAATAATAATAATAATAATAATAATAATGATGATGATGAAGATGATGATGATGATGAATGAATGATGATGTAAAATGTAAAATTCCAATCCTGTCCATAATGCTTTAGAAATCAGTAGAAAAAACACATAAATGATCTATCTATCTATCTATCTATCTATCTATCTATCTATCTGTCTGTCTGTCTGTCTGTCTGTCTGTCTGTCTGTCTGTCTGTCTGTCTGTCTGTCTGTCTGTCTGTCTGTCTGTCTGTCTTTTACTTAACACACCTGGCCTTGATCTCTGCTCTGTCGATTTTTGTTGCCGAAAGTTCAATTCTACTGTTTAACAGTGACTTTTTTTTTGACATTTTAGTGTATAATGTAGAGAAATAAGTCTGTAAATAGAGAAATAAATCTGTAAAATAACAGAAAACGTACTTTTGAACTGTAATATACAATAATACACCATCTCAGACAATATATCATTTAAAGTTATTACAAATGATAATAATAAATCGTTTTTGAACTTCTGAAGGTTAAAAGTTGTTGGAAGATCATGGTTCTATAATGCAAATCAAAAGCATAAACTAATGCGAGAAGAACCATTTAATGTGCTATCAAAACAAAGACTTACGCATTTATTTGATTGTATTTAAGCTTCTGCAGAAAGATGATTATTAATTATTAGATGATTATTAATTATACTCAGACAATCAGCATAAAGTGTGCCACATAGATTTTCTCGATTTTTTTTTACACACTGTCTAGCTTTTGTCAACCTAGCCCACAGTAAACCAACTCATGCTGATTGCCTCAGCAAATCCTCTTTAAAATGAAAGGCTTATTTTAGGACCCTTTCTATGAAATCTTCTCAGCAAATAATATCCTGCTTTATCCTGCTGCTATGCTGTGGTGTAACTGGACAGATGACATTAACAATCTGAAAGTGAGACATTAAAAAGAATAATCTGTAAATATTGTTACTGAACCTGATTTAGATAAAATCTAGGACAAAAACAGTAAATACTGTAGGACTAAAACCGGATCGGCTATGTAATGAAAGATTGGCTTTAAATTGAGGTACTTACTGAATGGGCCCAGTCACTATAAAGTTATGTGTTAGTTTAATTTGGGTGCCTGTGCTGTTAAACTACTGTAGATGCATTATTATTCAAGTATTTGGAATTAAACACTAATTAATTCTATTATTTTCTTTTGGGCTCAGTCCTTTTATATATCATGGACCGCCACAGTGCAATGAACCTCCAACTTATCCAGCATATGTTTTACCCAGCGGATACCCTTCCAGCCGCAACACAAAATTGGGAAATACCCCTACACTCATGCATTCACACACAGACACTTCGGCCAATTTAGCTTATTTAATTCACCTATACCACAAGGAGTATGCGGAGGAAACCCATGCGAACATGTGGAGAACATGCAAACTCCACACAGAAATGCCAACTGACCCAGCCAGGGCTTGAACAAGCAACCTTCTTTCTGTGGATTTAAACATTTTCTATAAAATCTACATTTGATTTAGTCGGTTTTGTAGGTTCCTCTCAAACAGCTGACAGTGAAAATTGTATAAAAGAACAGCTAATAGCACTATAGCAACATGTATGTACTTTTATTGCATCACAAAATGTGCTCTGACACATTGGAGTTGATATAAGTCATGCTCTATTTCTGATTTGAGGCTTCATCTCCTTAAAACGATTCACTTAAGAAGGATATTGGATACATTTGCATACAGCAGATGACACTGCGATATGAGATTCACCACAGCTGAGATCCAAAAGGGCACAGGTCATACAAACCTATGTGTGGTGGAATTAATGTGTAGGGTAAGATTAATGGCTGGCATAAATTACATTCCAAGATTAAAATGGAGGGATTAAAGGAATAAGTCACCCAAATGCTGGACAGCTGGATGTTTGGTTCATGCGTCATGGTTTTCATTTTTAAATTACAAATAATAATAATAATAACAATAATAAAAACACTAAACGGAACGGTTGATGTGTCAGGGGGACATATATACATGGTGTATATATATATATTTCAGCTACAATAAAAGCAGTTTTTAATAAAATAAATAAATAAGTAAATAAATAAATAATGGAGGTCAATATTATTAGCCCCTAGAGCATTTTATGTTATCTACTAAACAAACCTGTTACACATTGACTTGCCTAAATAACACAACTTGCCTATTTTACAGTTTTTCTCAGTGGCTTTGGGGCATTTCTCACAACACTATTTACATTTGCACAACAGCTAAAGCATTTCTCAAAACAATTAGTCATTTGCGCACATCATAGTGTTTGGTTTCTCATTCCTTCCAACAAATTGCAAATGTTTTTGAACATGTATTAATTCCTTTCATACAACTCGCTGTTTTATAACATGATCATGGCTTATGTCATGTTAGTCAAAATTAACAAAACTTGTGAATGCTAAATAGTCATTGCACATAAAACTAATAGTCCTCATTTCATTACTTAAGTCATTACATACAAAAATGTTGACCTAGGTGTTAAAATCTGTCAAATGTCAATTTTATAAAAATGTTTAAATCTTTTTTTTTTCTGAAAATGTCTTCTTAAATTGAACAATTTCATGAATGATTTACAGACCAATGTATACTGTAGGTTTAGTTCCAATATACTGCAATACTGCAATATTGTTTACAGTTGTGCACAGCTCTACCCAAAGGAGGCTTATGTTTGTTGTAAATAAAGGTGTATTTATTCTTTTGCACAATGCTGTAAATATATTAGAATGGCAAAGAGCAAATGCCGTAAAAATCTGAAACACACATATTCAGTGTCTTATACTCAGATACCTCGCTAAATGCAGTGATGTCTAACTTTACTGTCTTTTTCAAATGGCTGTGCAAATAGTATATAGTGCTGTCTTGACCATTTTCAGGAAGTGTCACCAAAATCTGACTTTTTTGCATTGGAACAAACTTACAAAGTAAATTGTCATAATGGAAACACAACAAAGCAATTTGACTATCTTGTTCATAAACAATGGTGTCAGGACTTTTCATCTTGATGACACTGACACTTTCATTGACATAAATACTTACTTTTGAGGAATGAGTTATCCATTTTAAGCAAGTGACACGCTTTTGCAAGTTATCAACAATATTTTGCAGTTTGTGCTAATTGCTTTGAGAAATGCAACTTATTGAGAAATGCACAACAATTAACTGTTGTGCAAATGTAAATAGTGTTGTGAGAAATGCACCAAAGCCACTGAGAAAAACTGTAACCTACTGTAATTAACATAGTTAATCCTTAACTGCACTTTAAGCTGAATACTAGTATCTTGAAAAATATTTTGTAAAATGTTATACACTGTCATCATGCCAAAGATAATAGAAATCATTTATTAGAAGTGAGTTATTAAAACTATTATGTTTAGAAATGTGTTTAGAAATCTTACCATTAAACAGAAATGATAGAAAATATACAAGGGGCTAATAAATCAGAAAGGCTAATAATTCTGACTTCAACTGTACCTATTTAGACAATTGCATCGTTATTGACCATACACAACAGTACAGTTTGATAGAGGGGTGTCAAAAATAAATCGTGCTGGTACATTTGGCAGCAACTCTCCATATTACAGAACAGTTCACTAACTCATTAAATCAGATGCTGTACAACAGCTGATTCATTTGTAAACAAAGCAAGCAACTGTCTTAGTGAATGAATCATTGACACAAATGTTTAGTTTAGAACAAATTAATCCAGGAAAAAAAACACTGTAGTATTGCTCTGGGAGAAGCAAACCTCTGCTCCAGCTTTATTTTTGACTACTTTTGGTGAAAGAGAGCACACACAAACAACTTGTGTATTAATTATAAGTCTCTTAATGCTAACTTTTGAATGAAATAAATTACTTTGCAATTGTGCTGACATAACGGGAGAAACACTCTGGTTACTAAAGTAACCCTTGTTCCCTGAGGAGGGGACCTTCAATGCTATCAGTGGATTTATTTAATCTACGAATGGGGATTTCGTTTCAGAAAGCCAATCGTCTGAAAGAGTATATAACGGGCCAATGAAATGCCAAAAGCTTGCGCACGTGTGCCTTATTGCAAATTATCTCCGCATATAAGCACAGGGAAAGCAAGGAAACGCCATCCTTTTAAGCTGAAGAGACTGACACTTACAGCTAAGGAACAATCATTATGGTGATGCTATATAGCATTTCCGTTCCCTTCCTCGGGGAACGAGGGTTACTTTAGTAACCAGAGCGTTCCCCTTCGGATGGGGAACTTCAATGCTATCAGTGGATTTATTTAATCCACGAATGGGGAAATGTCTGGAAAACGCCATAATGACTGGACCTTACCTTCGCCTCCGATGAGAGGATAGCTTTCAACATGATCCCTGGCCCTTGCTTATCCCATTTCAAAGTAGTTTAACGGATTTAAATATATTTTTTGGGAGTCGCAAGCGTCTAGATAATTCTAGGAAAATACGACAGTACGTTGGGAAAGTGTGCAGTCCCAATAGGGAGGACGCTGCGGAGGCCACCTGCTAACGGAGAGGGAAGACACGGGTCCACCCGTAAGGGGGGACTGCACCGGGGCTGAATAAGCATATGGGATCACCTTGTGGGGATCACGCATAGCGGGCACCTATACCCAAAACGCGGGCTGACCAGCAGGCAGACCTACAATGTAAGGGGCCAGCAAGTGACTCCTCCCCTGAGTCAGTGCCGGGGACCTCGGAGGAATCTGCAGGGCTCACCTAACGGGGAACTTTAC